CTTTCACGACTCCTGACAATGCACTTACGTGACGGGGCATCTCTGGACCACATGCGGCACGAACACGATAGGACATTGACATTACAACGACTGACAGACAACATTGACATTTTACGGACGTGCAATAATAGAGGACGCCTTCAAATTTAGGAAAGTATATTCATTAACGAACTCGCTCCAGCCCCAAGACAGACAAACAAACTCTTGTACAACTCTAACTATTAAGTGGTGGGCGGTGTGAATTATTGATGTCATTGTGGCCATAGTAGTTCTGTGGCCACACACATGTGGCCATTCTGTCTTTGTAGTGTTCCCATCGTGAGTGTATTTTGTATGCACCAAAAGAAAAATAGGAATATGCCTTACTTCAATAAGCCGCGCTTCATTTGTGTTCTCCGTACAAAAAGAGATTTTCTAATATGTACAAGAGTTTGTCTGTTTTAGGGTTGGAGAGAGTTCGTTAATGAATACACTTTCCCAAGTTTGAGGGCGTCCTCTATTATTGCACGTCCGTAAAATGTCAATGTTGTCTGTCAGCCGTTGTCATGTCAATGTCCTGTCGTGTTCGTGCCGCATGTGGTCCAGAGATGCCCCGTCACGTAAGTGCATTGTCAGGCGTCGTGTAGCATATGGTGTGTACCAATGTAGTATATGGAACAAAGTGTGTGTGTGCGTGTGCGTGTGCGTGTGCGTGTGCGTGTGCATGTGCATGTGTGCGTGTGCGTGTGCGTGTGCGTTTGCGTGTGCGTGTGCTTGTGCGTGTGCGTGTGCGTGTGCGTATGCGTGTGCGTGTGTGTGTGTGTGTGTGTGTGTGTGTGCATAGCGATATTTGGGCTGTGCCAACAACGCACCGATAGCACGAGACCTCTCGAGCAAGGTAAAATTGTACAAATCAGCCAGCCCGTCCGTTACGATAGCAATGTTGCGGTGTCAGTTTGGCCGCCCCTCTGATGTTATAAAACTCTGCATGACGTAATCAAACGATGACGTTTTTAGGACCATATTCACCGAAAAGTAAAATTGTGCTGTCAGGATCATTTTTTGGCACTTCAAAGTATACTCATAGTTACAGGTCAATATATTTTTTACTTGAAGTCGCTGCACGAGGTGGCTTTTCAGGTCTTCGTCTCGTTACCACGTATGCTAGGTTCGGTTCGTTACAACACTCGCTCACTCGTTACAACACATTACAAACAATACTACAAAAGACAGTACCAAGGCATATACTGTAAAATATAATATTATGAAATAAGGCGTACGGTATGGTAAAAGGTATATGGTACTGTAAAATACGGGACAATAAAAACGTAGTAAGTCGAAACCATGAATTCAATAAATGCTCTATAGTGACAGCAGAATGTACCAGACCCAGAGTATACAAACCAAGATCAATGGAAGTAAATTGTAAGTACAAAGCCTCCATGTCTCCATGTCTCCAAACTTCGAGCCTTCCTTAAAGGCTGCGTGGTGATAAAGGTGGCTGCGAGGAATAAGCCACCAGCATTATTAGTAGCAATTGAACTTATTGGATCCAGTTGTTCACCAGAGGACACTTTTTAAACTGATATTTAAGTTCTCGCAGGCTCTGCCATAATTGTTCTGTTTTCTACAAAGTTATTAAGGACTCCGCGAACACAGGCTGTACATCGAAATGAGGCAAAACATTCCATTAACATGATCAACCTAAGTTCCTCTGAAAACGTTTCAAATTCAATCAGAATCGATTACTAAAGTATTCCTTGTCATATCTTTGACCATGCGCGCTTGCAAGTCTAACAAAAACCGAGACGCCTGGCGTTGCAGTCTCAATCGGCCTCGCGGCGTCTGCTCCATCGATAACACTAGACGGCGGCTAACGGGTGAATAACAAAAATGACGCATCCTAACTTCAAAGAAGCACTTTGGAACAATTAATATCATCAATTCGTACGCCCAGGATATATTTCGGACTTATATCTCAACTATGCGATATTTAGTGATAGTGGGAAACGAATGGCGTTTACAGCATCGCTTACCGGAGCTGGAATCTGCCGACGGAATTGCAATTTAGTACAGGTACGATTTCTAGGTTTCGTATTACTGTGATGTCAATCTGTTTAAGGGATGCCGTAAAAATTGAACAAATGACATCTGCTCTCTAGCATAATTTTTGAACAGTACAAAGTGACTTTAAAAGGATTTCGGAAACATTATTTCACAGCGGTCATTCCCTCGCACCCGGCGCCGGCCGCCCGGTGTTGCCTGCAGCGGCCAACGCCGCTCGGTTTGACGGAAGCTGCAACCCCGGCCATCAGTGTCCTTACTCCTATAGGATTGGGAGCATGCAGGTTCAAAACTTTTTATGCAATTTGTTTCAGCAGCCGATTCCAGAAAGGGATGGACGCCCTTGGACAAACGTGGGCTGACACATCGTTACCTGAGAAGGTCGAAAAGGGTTCAAAAAGTCCGTTTGTTTTTTTCTCATTTTCCAACCCATTTATTTTCAACCATGTCAAGCACTGACAGGACTCATCGTCTTTTTCAGGCAAGGGACTTCATAGATGAAACGCATCACTGGGGGCAAGTTCTCGCTTCCAGTTCGGAGTACCTGTCCGTCCTAGTGAGGGGTGTCTATAAGCTGCCATTCTGACGACACGGGGGCGGTGTATTCGCCCGGTCAATCCGGGAGCCCTCAGAGGAATGCATCGTACATCTCCACGACGCGGGAGGCCCGGTAGTCGGGGCAGTTGGCCCTAGATCGACAGTGTCCCTCATTAACGCAAAAGGTATCTTTTTGACATGGGATTCGGTGATTGGAGAGAGCCTCCATTTTGAAATAACGGACCCTTGGCTAACATAGGGTGGGGTCCCCGTTCGGTACTGGGGCCTCCGACTGACACAGGGTCTTTCCAATGTCCCCAGGTGGACTCTCATCGTAAGCTTTCATATTATATCCTTGCATTGTTAGGTGGCCCCGACCAAGGTACGAGGCCCTCTGGCATTTAGAAAATGTTCCCCCGGCCGACTCGGGCCTCTTGCCCTGACAAAGGGCCTCGGTTAGGCACCGTGAACCTATGACTGATATAGGGCCCCCTCCTCTCTGCTTGGGAAAAGTGCCTTCAGATCCGGACCGACACGGAGCCGCCGACTGTCCTGTGCTGGTGGTGTCTGATCGAAATCGAGGTCGGCATCGACTCAGGGGTCCCCGATCGGCACAAATGGCCTCTGACTGGTAACTGAGGGCCCAGTTCTGCGGGCCGGGCTCCCTTAATGCAGCATCCAATCAGCCCTTCGGCCCAAAATAGTTGATTTCGAGGAGCCCTCCGGGCCCTCGGGACCTGTGAGGGGAGGGGAAACGTGCCCTTATGTCCACCCTGCCTGCCTGCACTATAACTTTGACCTGACCAAGCCACCATTTGCTGGAAGTGCCTAAGGTGCATCAATTGCTGGAGGTTTTTGGCGATCAGTCCCCGAGGGCTTACCGGCTTAATATAATAATTACAAAAATGCGCCACATAATTCCCAACGCGTTCTGTCCGGGAACTTTCATGGCAAATCATTACACCGTGCGCTAGCAGTGTGTAAAGAAGAAAAGGCCCCACATTAGGTCAGCACCTTCGACAGGCCTGCGAGTAAACGAAAATCGACTCATCATAGTTATGTTAAGTTTGAGCTGAAGTTTTGTTTGACCCGACAACGCGCTTCTAAAACATTCATGTTCGTGACCCCGCATGTGAATGACCTAGCCGTGGCACCGTGAATGGGTGCCTGCTGCCAACCAAGCACAAATACGAACTAAATCAGAGGATAAGCAAGGCCAGAAATGACAGCTGAAAATAATTTATGTGTGCAATGGCGGCTGAAATTCAAAAATGGAGCGAAAGCTTTATATTAGGTTGGTGGGAACGCTTGGATGTTTGAACCCCGGAATGCGCCCAACACTAAAAGACAACATTAAAACAAGAGTCGTAAGGCTGGTGTAGTACAAACAATAGTATTGGATATTCGACTCAAACAGTAGAGGCTATGCTGAATATACTTGCTTGATATTGAGGTTTGCAGGCTGGTTACATTATAATGATGATGCGCGGTTCCAACAGTAATGATCAAAATCATTGTCATTTTGACGTCATTTAAGGCCAGGCAAATGGCTAAAGCACAGGATCATTACCCAGGAATAGCCGAAGGTCACCCTTTCTCACCATTCTCGCCCTTTCTAAGCCTCTCGCTGCATAGAATGTCACTTACGAGCTTTTGGCATGATTAGGATGAACACCCTGTCGTTTGAGAAGCGGACACAATTCTGCCGATATTTGAGCAGTGTTGAACTCAACCCGTCCTGAGCTCTTTTATCGTCAAGAACCTCCTCGTTTCCATACAGATGAGACAGTGTTAATATCCTTATTCGCCGTGGAATAAACAGGAGAATGAACAGATCTATGTCTCTCCATATATGATGTCTAACATTTATCTCTTCACTCTCCTGCTTATTCCGCGAGGAATACGGCTTTAAGTACTGTCTCATCTAAATGCATAATGTTCCTCGCAAATGCACTTAACCTCTTCTTTTCCCCCGAAACTCAGAGGATAAAGCTATGGCCGAACGACATCCACGCTGAAAAGCAGCACTGTATCCGCCGGCGTCTAAGGCTTTGCACCAGATGCTGGGCAAGGCGCCGTATATGTGCAATCAAGTGCAAATACCTTGCATGTGCGTGGGAGAAGCTAAAGTGACGCGTCAAGGGGTATTCGTCGTGAGTAGTGATGATAACAAAGCGTGATATCGAAATTCGGCATAGTTTGTATTACCGAGCTACAGTTGACCGGGGACAATGTCAGCTCAATGATAGGACAACAGAAGCATACCCTTTTGTTTATACTTGCAATTTGGTTTTCGTTGCTGTGCGTTAACCGTTTTAACACAACATGGCTCAGTCAACGTTTTTCCACTTCTTTGCAAGAAATCAGACTGGGTACGAACGAGTATGTACCTAACCGGACTTTCCGACTCACAAGCCGACTCCAAAGAGGCATGCTATCCTTTATTCAACGGAATAATTATAGCCTTGCTCCCCTGGCAGCAGCTACAAAACAGTGATAATTACATTTCATACATGCCGTATAAGCCCGATTCTTTTCTGAATATGACATCTCGTCTTAAGGGCGCGTACGACAACGCTGAATTTGCTTGGTATCACAATTGCACTACGGCTTTTCCGCCCGTACCATTTTTAAGCCGCGCGTAAGCCCCCCGGCAGACATCACATAGCGGCCAAAGGGTGGGATCCAATGGTTGATGGGGGTAATGTTCACAACCCCCCGCAGTGTACATGCACATCATACACATCACACGCATCATGAGCTCCTATTGCACGTTCAGCATGCAGAAACTGGGATGGCAAGTGCATTTTTTGTCGCCGTTCGAATTCCTGCTGACAAAATTGTTGCCAGCAGGGTAACACAACGTCATATGACAGAAAACGGCAATGAGGCCACCAAGCTTGTATTGCCGCCAAGCGTCGCGTCAAAATTATGCTTTTTGTCGCCGACTTTATCGATCAGGTCGAGACCTTTGTGCAGGCTCGGCTACTACCCCTGCACACGGGCTGGCACCCCTGTGCAGAAACCCTGCATAAAAAGTCAGTGTAGGAAAAGCTTCTACGCATTGCCGGTGCCACTGATGCGCAGAGCCTTTTGTACAAGGCGTCCATGTCCGCCGCGGCTTATGAGATGTTGGGCAGAACATTCTCGATGGTGTTGACGATCCAGTCGACGAAGGAGGAAACGCGCGTGTAGACGCCAACGTAGCGAGGCTGGCCGCACTGGTCTGAGCCCCAGGACACAATGCCGGTGGCGATCCAGGGGCCTGGCGAGCACAAACGGTCGCCCGTCAGCGCGCACAGTAGCCACTGAGGTCACGCACCGCTGAAATGTCAGCTGAGAAACCCCGAAGCAAAATGTTGCTTTGGAGACCACTCTGTGGCGGCGGCTGTGCTATCGCTTGGGACGAATATTGGCGCTCGGTCGTTTTGACGTGCATGCATTGCTCAGGTTTACTGCATTTGTTGTAGGTCAGAACGACCCCGCAAAAATAAATAGAAAAGTGGGAATGCGTCCCACATTGGGTTTATCATCTACCATGCAAGAGTAACCTTTCCTATGACCTGACCCAGCAGAAGGCGGTTCAAGAACTTCTCCTCACTGGCAGTAGTGGCTTATTGCCTATGGCAGCAACACCGTGGAGACGATGGAAGCATCATCCAAAGGTCCTAAAATTTAGCATTAATAATAGAGCTTCACAATACAAAAACAAACCCAAACATTGTCTGTTTCCCAACCACTAGCCACTGGCATCACCCGCTCAGCCCACCCCATCGCCAAGCGATCGCCGCTGTCGCCAGCGTTCGGTTTTGTGCGGCTGGAGGGGGCCGGCGCAGCGGGCCGCCTCCGCCCCAGTCCACTGACCGTGGCCGTTGCGGCAGGCCAGCGGGCCGCCCGAGTCGCCGCCGCACGCGTCCACACCGCCATCAACGTTGCCGGCGCAGAGGTGGACATTGTCGTCGAACTGATCGCCCCACACCTCTTCAGAGCGGCAGTAGCTCGGCGAGATGTAGGTCAGACTGCCGCCGTGCAGCACCGGAGGCGACGGATCGCCGTTGGTCTGGCCTGCGCAGAGTCGGCGTCGGCGCCGACAGAACCGAGTGATTACGGTCGGGTATTGCAGTCATCACGGCTATCGACGCGACTAACGGGGTCACAGACACCAGGTCAGTCAGCCACACTCACCAGCGGTACCACGGCCGTCACTCATATCATCAGTTACAGCCGGGTATTAATATGATAGCTCCTTCTGTAGTATCGTATTTACTCACCAACGATGCCACGAACATACAACATGATATTAACGAACAATACCAAGTCTATAACGAATATCATAAATCACAGTCGGGCAGTAATATCGTTTTTCCGTGTGTGAAATTGCATTTGAAGAGGTCGTGTCACATGTCATGTTGACTGTGAAACTTATATTCCGTTATTCCGGGCCGATTCGCAACAGCAAAGCCAATTTTCTAAAAACATTCCTAAAAAGTCGAATTCTTTGTTTGAAATATGTATGCCCGGGGAATTCTTAATGCAGACTCCTTGCTGAGGATAATTCAAGGTGAGTACGCTCGTCCAATAGACGTCTATCAGAAAACCAAAAACGCACAGTTCACGTAGTCATCAGGTATGAACTAGGTACAGTATGGCCCTCTAGGATAGCTGTTTCGGAACCATGTATGGAACGCTTAATTAGTGTACTCTCCTGCGTTGCTCGCTGGGAATTTGGAGACGCGATTAGAACACTCGTCTTGCCGATCTACCCGAGAATATCAGGAGCGCACGCGTAACGTGCTCGTCCGCTCACACTTTCTCAGCACCGTGAAGGACGCGCAGGTAATGGGGCCGATCCGTAAAGCCGTAAAACTCTGGCCTCGTGTTTCAGACCTACTCTTCTCCACCAAAGCAGTCACACAGTTTTGAGAACGCTCTGTTGGTGAGATCGTCGTGCAAATCTGTCTCGCAAGCGGTGTGGCGCACTAGTAACAGCTGTTGGCTGGCAAACTACCTGCAACTGACCGCGTGGAGCGTGCGCCGTACTTACCCCACCCAGACACGAGGCAGTCGGTGTGCTCGTCCAGCGTGTCCTCGCCAGATGGCAGGCACATCGGGCTCACGTAGGCATAACGGGCATCACCGGCATCAAACTGGATGCCTCTTCCTCTGCGCTCCGTATTCAGCAGAATTACTGCGATGTCGTTCACGTGACCACGCAGCGGGTCTGAGGACGCATCGGCGAACGTAAATGCGCGTTGTGCGCATGCGAGGTTCCCTGCCGAGCGAGTCCGCTGTCACGGTGAGCGCATGTGTTCGCGACTCTCAGGCCTTGCGCTTTCCTCCGTATCCTTGACTGCATGATATAGCATCCGTGTAAAGAAACGCGATGGTGGCAGCGAGTGACAAAATGGAGCGAAAAAGCACGGCTTTGTGAAGCAGTGGGGCCATGCTGCGGATAGCTTGGTGAAGTTGCTTTATTGCGTGTGCCCCGTAGATTGCCTTCACCCGTTTTCGCGACGGATTAATGCACTGAAAAATTTGAAAAAAATGTTCAAATGCTTGTTCGATTTTTTTCCATCAACATACAATAGGTGAACCACATGTATCCAACTAAGAGTGAGTGTGGTACATCAAACGAAACCCTTTATAGATATTACCTCGGCCCATGCCTCTACTTCACCTAAATTCTAGGACAATACTAGGCCTGACAATTAGCAATTCGCATCGGCCGAAGGCGTCGGATGCTGGCTGCCCCGTTATTCTTTATATCGGTTTTGTATGAAGCAAGGCGGGATTTGACAACCATTTCATTTAAGCATCATTTATCTTGAATCACGTTGAGGTATGTAAGCCCTGCAAGTCCTTAAGTACTGCAAGTAGGCTCTGTAAGCACTGTAGGTAAGCTCTGTAAATATCGTAATCCCTGTAAGTACTGCATACCTATGAACAGGGACGGTACAAGGGTATAGGAGTTTGTTTGTCGCGTTTGAGTCAGAGATGCCACAGAGTGTTTAAAAGCAGTTTTGAAAAGTTTCAGTGGGAAGAGATCTGGCATCACATCTGACAATAAACACATGATCTTGCTTGTAATCAGCTAACCGCAGTTCTATCAACTTGTGCGTCTTTACAAACATGCTTTTAAATCTCTGCGAAACATTTATAGCCGAAGATCGCTGATAAATGTGTGTGGTTTGAAAAAAACGCTGACAAAAAGTTTCAAGGTTTTGCACAGAAATCCGTCGTAAAAATGGATTATGTAAATACTTACCTCTGCTTGCACTTTACCAATTCAAGTTCTACGTCTCTAGAGTGAGACTAAGCGCATCATATGTGGGTGGTGTATGGTGGTAAGCCTGTGATGTGTTATAATACCACGATTTGTGGCGCAACATGCATTTTAAGGAATCAACCACACTTATGGTTTTAATGCGTCGGTGAAACCTCACGGGATGTTTATACCAGGCAGCAGGCCAGCCGGTAGGCTGAGGATCAGCGTGCCCTGATAGATAGCACAGCCAGCATGTCGCCCAGACTGGGGTTTTACCTGAAGCATAGTCTGCGTGCCGTGCCAGAGACTTGATGCTGAATGTTTGTTGCCCGACATCGTTAGTAGTCCTGATGTCATGCTGGCCCACCACCACCTGCGCAGGCAAGGTCAGGGCATGACACCACAGTCTGCGCAAGCAAGGTTAGGACATGACGCCACCGTCTGCGGAGGCAAGGTCATGACATGACACCACCGTCTGCGGAGGCAAGGTCATGGCATGACACCACCGTCTGCGGAGGCAAGGTCATAGCATGACACCACCGTCTGCGGAGGCAAGGTCATGGCATGACACCACCGTCTGCAGAGGCAAGGTCATGGCATGACACCACCGTCTGCGGAGGCAAGGTCATGGCATGACACCACCGTCTGCGGAGGCAAGGTCATGGCATGACACCACCGTCTGCGGAGGCAAGGTCATGACATGACACCACCGTCTGCGGAGGCAAGGTCATGGCATGACACCACCGTCTGCGGAGGCAAGGTCATGGCATGACACCACCGTCTGCGGAGGCAAGGTCATGGCGTGACATAACTCCAATCTCGAGCAGTGCACTTGCCTTCAGCCGACTCACTTACTTGCATGCTATTGCAGCCACACTTTCGTGACAACATGCGAAAATACGCTTTAAACGAGGAGTGGCTTGTATTGCATGAATTGCTTGAGAATGTAAACAGTTTAATTGACCCATTCGAACTTTTCTCTGCCTTCTAGGTCGTTTATTAGGTACCCGTCAGTGAAACCGCTTGGTCCTCTTTTCCAAGCATAAGCTTTCGATGTGAACCGATCTCCCCCCCCCCCCGAGCCTCGTTGATATTAGAGAACCTCGTGGCAATGGGTGAGAGGTCCTGCAGGATGCAGTTCTCAAGCTACTAACGCCACGTTTAGAGCTCGAAAATTTTGATCCTTAGATTCGAGGAGACCGTATTTCTCCTGAAATAACATGGGTTCTTCCAGACTAGATGAACCAAGGGGCTCTTTGTCACACTTTGTAGGCGCATGCTTCAGTACGGGACACCTTTCAGACTTCATGGATTTCTTGTATCCGAAAATAGCTTCGACACCATTTGTTTAAACGAAATGCTCCACATCTGAATGTATTGTAGCAAGCATCAGATAGGATGAAATAAGCTCGCTTGTAATTATTGGCAAACTTTTAAATGTAAAAGACTGCTCTAGACAACAGTTTCACAGACAGACAGACAGACAGACAGACAGACAGACAGACAGACAGACAGACAGACAGACAGACAGACAGACAGACAGACAGACAGGCAGACAGACAGACAGACAGATATATAGACAGACAGGCAGACAGACAGGCAGACAGACAGACAGACAGACAGACAGACAGACAGACAGGCAGGCAGACAGACAGACAGACAGACAGACAGACAGCCAGACAGACAGACAGACAGACAGACAGACAGACAGACAGACAGACAGACAGACAGCCAGACAGACAGACAGACAGACAGACAGACAGACAGACAGACAGACAGACAGACAGACAGACCAGGCAGGCAGGCAGGCAGGCAGGCAGGCAGGCAGGCAGGCAGGCAGGCAGGCAAGCAGACAGACAGACGGACAGCTAGACGCATGCGTGCACGCACGCACACCCGCAAGCACGCCTGCACGTACCGTGAGCAAATATTGTAGTCATCACATCGTCACGGAAATAAGCGGCCTGATCAAACAGCCTGCCTTCAAGTGTTTTGGAGCTATCACGATAGACTCTTTATGAATCGTGTCACTTTTTCTTCATGACGATGCAATCCGTGGTCGCAAAAGTGTCAGCCTGCCGAAGGTGTCGCTCGACTAAAGTTTGACTGATACTCTGCCCAGAGTCAAGCGCAAGTCTGGTAATATTGTCCGTACAAGGCACTTACCTGAAGCTGGCTGACAGGAAGCGTCATGCAGTGTGCTGCCGTGAGGATGTGGCGGTCCGATATGATGATGCCTCCACAGTGGTGAGCGTATCTCGGCCCACTCAGCTTCTGTATCTGTGCCTGTGAGTTAGAGTGCCCATTGTTTTGCACCATTGTCACGGCTGGCTTTATATCCACAACTGCATTCTTCAGCTGCTGACTTTTCACCTGCATGCGACTACATCAATAAACTCCAATCAGCAATGTGGATCAGAGACGCGTCAATGATATCAGATCTCATGCTGGACGGGCTTTCGTCGCTTCGAAAAATTACAGCGTGATATTCACACAGACTATGGCTGCTAGAGCCCATGAGGTCATCGCCCAGTAGTGCACCGGGTAGCATGTCGGCGACTCTCACCTGCCAGGGGTAATCACCGTGATTAACCTCAGATGCATTGGCCACCCGAAGGTCCCCAAACATAGCAGGCGCCAGGAAAGAGTCCAGGAAGCGAATTCCACACTCGCTCGGTAGCAGGCTGGACGGCGGTCTAGTGGTTCCGCCAGGTGGCCTCGTCGGTGGCACGGACATACCTGAAGTCACGTCAGTGGTCACAGTCACGACACCAATTCGTGACACGAATCGGTCCAGGTTTCGGGTGCTCACGGCGGAAAGAAGTGGACATGATGAAGACCTTTAGTGGTGCCGACACTAGGAACTACCGTGGTAATGTGGGTCGTAATTTTCGTCGGCGGTTTTAGAAGAGATGTGAGGATACCGTACTGATTGCAAAACAGCTGAACGTTGTCACGTTTATAAACCGATTTCGACGCAGCCCGGCAGATCAATGCATGACTTCGAGGTTGATACATCACGGCGATAAGTTAAACTCTGAATTGCATTGGCATCTTCAATAATTCCAAAATGGGCTAATAGCAGAACGGTGAAAACGTTGAGTGCTTTTTAGTGTTCATGGTAACGTAAGCTGTATTTGATGTTTCAGAGTTTTGCATGGAATGTGGGAAAACTGGGATTGTGCATTGCTTTGTTTTAAAAGGAAATGCCTTAGTTTTGGCCCGGCGGAGCATGAGTATTTATTGGAGTTGTGGAAAGGGTGACCAAGTAAGAAGTAGACTTTCTTTCTTTCTTTCTTGCCAAAGCACTGCTATGCCCTGTAAAATGAATATGGCGTCGATACAGCATGTACGGACATGCGCCATAGGCGTTTCCAGCTTTCCAAGAAGAGAGGATAGTGACACGTCATTGGGTGCGCAACTCAGCGCCTAGGCCGTGCGCTGACGATCTGCTGCTGGTGACCGCAGTTTACGGTCTACCGATCAACGTGGTCACGCGCTTAACAATGTGCACGGTTTAGGAAGAACCCAACGATTGGAAACAGCGCGTTTGATATGTACACTTCGCCATAGACAAGCATCGGCACAGGCCAGTTAACCCTCGCCCTGATTCGCCCTTTTTCATAACGCGGACTGATAAGGAGGTGGGTCAATACATCCCCTAGTGTTTCCAAAAGGATGAACATAAAGCTTAGAGAAAGATCCGCGGGCTGGTTTCAACTAGACTTCGCGACTGGTAGTAATTTATGTGGTTAGGTCAATAACTGACAGCATTGTGCCAGATCGAAGGTCGAATTGTCCAGAAGATCGCGCCGTTTTATCTTCACCTCATACATACGAAACAATAGCTCGTGGCGGCATAAAACCTAAAAAGGCGTGTTCCATGCTTGATCCTGAGTACAGTGAGCCATACGCTCACGTGTTTTGAGCATACTATGACATGTGGATCTGTTAATGGATCAATGTCAATCCGTCGCGTGCGCTCCGCGACATCATCTGTCGCCGCCCGCCACCTGCGCGGGTTGTAGGTGGTCATGCAGTGTTCCTAAAAAAACTGCTGCTGCTGCGAAACCAGAAAAGCTAGGGACATGTCTCGGAGCACGAACACGAATATGCAGTGTAAAAAACACGCGCAATAAGTGCCTTATAGGCTAATTAAACTTCTGGCGCAGTTGCACAACGTACCAAAGAGGCATCCACGCAAAACGTAAGGTAGGGGGCATTGACGCCCCCTGCCCCTATCAGGGAGATCGTTAACACATGTTCGGGGGGGAGGGGGTACCACACCAAAGGCTTTTACAATAAATATCCGAACGGCACGGCGTAGCCGTGCCCAACTTTATACGGCTGTAGGCAATGGAATAGCGGATTTCGGCACCAAAATAGATGTACCATGTAGAGTCGCTGACTTATAGCAGGCCAGGGTCAGACCGTGACTGACTTATAGCAGGCCAGGGTCAGACCGTGACTGACTTATAGCGGGCCAGGGTCAGACCGTGACTGACTTATAGCGGGCCAGGGTCAGACCGTGACTGACTTATAGCGGGCCGGGGTCAGACCGTGACTGACTTATAGCAGGCCAGGGTCAGACCGTGACTGACTTATAGCGGGCCAGGGTCAGACCGTGACTGACTTATAGCGGGCCAGGGTCAGACCGTGACTGACTTATAGCGGGCCAGGGTCAGACCGTGACTGACTTATAGCGGGCCAGGGTCAGACCGTGACTGACTTATAGCAGGCCAGGGTCAGACCGTGACTGACTTATAGCGGGCCAGGGTCAGACCGTGACTGACTTATAGCGGGCCAGGGTCAGACCGTGACTATCGGCACAGGCAATTTCTAGCGAATCGTTCATCTGATGCGACAACGGAGTACATTAGACGAGGCCTGACGTATCTCAGGTAGTTTCGTAGGTAGTACAGCAATTGAGCTCAAGTTACAACAAATTCCATTAAGTTAAGGTCAGGAATGAAGTTAAGACCAAGGTCTAAGCGAAACTTATTTTTTACTCGAGGAATTGCTCCTTGTAGTTTCCGGGTGCTCATTTCGAATTCGTGAATAACAGGGACCGCAACAGACATCATGATGTCTGAGGTCTCTTCTGACACCAATCTGGAGCTTGACCTTGTTTGGCCTTATTTGGCCAGAAGCAAATGACGTAGGAATCTCAAGTTTTGACACAAGTGAGTTAACATACAAGCGGGCCTATACCTTAATTTTAGCGTATCTGACTGTTTCCGTTTGTTGTATCTGAGGGGATCAAACTGCCTCCGCCCGAGCTGACAGTATTCAGCCGGCCACCCAGGCGCGTGCTAACGCACCACGGCCGAACCGGCCACCCAGGCGCGTGCTAACGCACCACGGCCGAACCGGCCACCCAGGCGCGTGCTAACGCACCACGGCCGAACCGGCCACCCAGGCGCGTGCTAACGCACCACGGCCGAACCGGCCACCCAGGCGCGTGCTAACGCACCACGGCCGAACCGGCCACCCAGGCGCGTGCTAACGCACCACGCCCGAAACGGATGCTCTGCGTATCCAACAAAGTGGACTCTAGCTGACGATGCTCTACCTCTCTCGGACGCACCTGGGCTAATGTCAAACCGCTGCTCCAACTTGTGATGCCCGAGGCCGTTAAAGATGACGTACACCCAGTAGTAGATGGTGCTAGCCTGCTCCCACGGCGCGTGGATCATGGTGACGAACACGTCACCGGACTTATCCATGTCCTTATTATATTTGCCGGCGTTCGTGCCGCGAAGAGGCTCATCCAGGTTCATGTGGATGGCCGCCAGCGAGACGCCCGGCAGCGCTGCGGCGGGTCAGTCAGGGTCACTCCGTAACAGACCAGACCAGGTCACACCGCAACGGCACGGGTCAGGTCACACTATAACAGTATGGGTCAGGTCACATCATAGCAGCAAAGGTCAGGTCACACCACAGCAGCACGTGGCAGGTCGCACTACAACAGCACGGGGAGGTCACACCACAGCAGCACGGGGTAGGTCACATTACAACAGCACGGGCAGGTCACACCACAGCAGCACGGAGCAGGTCACATTACAACAGCATGGGGCAGGTCACACCACAGCAGCACGGGGCAGGTCACACTACAACAGCACGGGAGGTCACACCACAGCAGCACGGGGCAGGTCACACTACAACAGCACCGGGCAGGTCACACCACAGCAGCACGGGGCAGGTCACATTACAACAGCACGGGGCAGGTCACACCACAGCAGAACGGGGCAGGTCATACTACAACAGCACGGGAGGTCACACCACAGCAGCACGGGGCAGGTCACACTACAACAGCACCGGGCAGGTCACACCACAGCAGCACGGGGCAGGTCACATTACAACAGCACGGGGCAGGTCACACCACAGCAGCACGGGGCAGGTCACACCACAGCAGCACGGGGCAGGTCACACCACAGCAGCACGGGGCAGGTCACACTACAACGGCACCGGGCAGGTCACACCACAGCAGCACGGGGCAGGTCACACTACAACAGCACCGGGCAGGTCACACTACAGCAGCACGGGACAGGTCACATTACAACAGCACGGGGCAGGTCACACCACAGCAGCACGGGGCAGGTCACACTACAACAGCACCGGGCAGGTCACACCACAGCAGCACGGGGCAGGTCACATTACAACAGCACGGGGCAGGTCACACCACAGCAGCACGGGGCAGGTCACACCACAGCAGCACGGGGCAGGTCACACCACAGCAGCACGGGGCAGGTCACACTACAACAGCACGGGGCAGGTCACACCACAGCAGCACGGGGCAGGTCACACCACAACAGCACGGGAGGTCACACCACAGCAGCACGGGGCAGGTCACACCACAACAGCACCGGGCAGGTCACACCACAGCAGCACCGGGCAGGTCACACTACAACAGCACCGGGCAGGTCACACCACAGCAGCACGGGGTAGGTCACACCACAGCAGCACGGGGCAGGTCACACCACAGCAGCACGGGGCAGGTCACACTACAACGGCACCGGGCAGGTCACACCACAGCAGCACGGGGCAGGTCACACTACAACAGCACCGGGCAGGTCACACCACAGCAGCACGGGGCAGGTCACATTACAACAGCACGGGGCAGGTCACACCACAGCAGCACGGGGCAGGTCACACTACAACAGCACGGGAGGTCACACCACAGCAGCACGGGGCAGGTCACGCCATAACAGCACAGGCCAGGTCACAACACGGCAACACGAGCCGGGCCACACAACAGCGGGTCGGATGATGTCACATAGCAGCAACGCCGAACAGGTTACAGGTTACGTAGCACAACAGCACAAGACGATACGTCAGAACCATGGCAAAACAAGGCTCAGCTATCCGCCTATTCTTTAACACATCTCGCAACGCTGGTTTCGACAGGTCGCCACAGCGCCACAGTAGCTTACTGCAAGGCAAGCCACGCACTGCCCCGTCGCTCTGAGATGCTGGAGCGTAGTGCCTCAGCTGAGCCTCAGCTGAACACCCACCTGGTACCGCAACAGTGATGGTGAAGGGAGTGAAGTGAAACGAGGGAGTGGGGACCTGGAACGGGCCTCGGCTCGGTGCTCTGGTGGTGCCCGCACCGCCGGCGCGAATTGTGTGAGACTGCTCCAGGCGCTGATACCCCAGGCCGTCCACAACAACGTAGACCCAGTAGTAGATGACGTCACCCGTCTGCCATTGGAAGCTGTAATGCGAAAACGGGATGGTGCCGCCATTACCGGATGACGTCACTGGTACGCGTGTCGTTTGAAGCTGGAAGGCCGAAGAGCCTGCCCAATCCATTCACGGACACCATGTCACATCCATGTCACTGGCACGCATGTCGTTTGAAGCTGGAAGACTGGAAAGCCTGCCCAATCCATATCACGGTCGCCTGTCACGGCGACAGCGTGCAGCACACGGGGAGAATACCACTCAGCGTGTAGCACACGGGGAGAATACCACTCAGCGTGTAGCACACGGGGAGAATACCACTCAGCGTGTAGCACACGGGGAGAATACCACTCAGCGTGTTACACCATTTGCAATTATATCTTGAGCATTCACTTTCTTGCAGCTTACTTGAACCAATGGAGGGAAGCGATGAAGCAGGGAGGCAGAACGAGAGGGTGTAAGGAAGTGTTAGCACATTTGCATGACATGTATATGCCCATATGCAAGTGTAATCGAGTACGTAGGAAGTGTAGAAATTTGGAAAAGACTAGCCAGGGAAGAAAAGCGAATGCGAATGAAACCCAAGCAAAGCGTACTTACTGCACCGTTCCGCGGAAGACGTCGCCGTCCCTGGCCAGATCCTTGTTGTATTTTCCGGGCCTGGTGCCGTGCACGGGCTCACCCACTGTCAGGTGGATGGCAGCCAGACTCATGCCCGGCGAACCTGCCGCAAACGGTCACACGTCGTTCGCTGACTCGCTATACGTGGTCACACGGCGCTCGCCGACTCGCTACACGCGGTCACACGGCGCTCGCTGACTCGCTACACACGGTCACACGGCGCTCGCTGACTCGCTATACGTGGTCACACGTCGTTCGCGGACTCGCTACACACAGTCACACACACACTGTCAGACAGACTCACTTCACTTATTGAGGATCATTGCAACGCCACCAGGGCAGTAGTAATTAGCATTCCAACATCATCACAGCAAGCCCGATGTAACAGCAGTAAGACGAGAACCTGCAATATGATATCATTATGGCGGGATCAACAAGCTGTTGGAAATAAGTTATCATCAAAGCCGCAGGGATTCAAAGAGTGATGCAGGGGCGGCGCCATAGATTTGGACTTGGAGGAGCAGGGATTTTCACGGGGCCTCCTCACAGAGGCCTTTTGTGTAATGTCATGTTTTCAACGAAGGAGCGAGGGGAGGGAGAGACATCGGGCATTGTTCTCTGACGAAATTGTTACATGCGTTAATACCCATGCAAAAATGTCGATAATTACATAATTGGAGCAGGGGCCTTCTGGGCAAAGCAGCTTGTTGAACCTCGCCCTCATTCGCTGCTTCTCACAACGCGTACTGACAGTTTGATTCGACTCCAAATTAAGAACAAACAAACTAACTAACCAGCTAACGTAGACAGAAATGTCAAACTCCTTGAGTTCTATACGAAAAACGCCAATGTCTTGTTCTGCACGAACGACAAACGACGCCGAAAATCGTGCTTTTTCAGCTTTGCAACCTCATACATACGAAAATATGCACCTCCAGTGACCCAAAATCTGAAAATAAGCCTTCGCACGCTGGCACGAGGTGCACGCCCGTGTCCACTCCTTGACGTGTCGGTGCATAGAAGGCCACACAAGGAGCTGGGAGACAAGTTCTTGCGTGCCCCCAGCTCCCTGGTGAGCCAGGCCATGCAGAATCCAGAAGTACTGCTACCGGTGGCTTCCTGGCAACAGGGGGGGGGGGGGGGGGGGACCTGCCTGTGGGCTCACCTACCACGACCTTGTGATCACTTGTCAGCAGAACTGTCACCCAGCGCCAGTGAATGCGATGAGGGTGCTGAAGGTTTGAAGGTCGTCATCTTGACCCTGAGCGCCCACCAGAGTGTCCAGATCGTCCAGCGGGGGCTGCGTTGCCTGCAGCATGGCGATCGTCCGTGAGAGCACGGGGCAACAGTGTTTTCCTTGCCCGGTACGTGCCTGACGTCAGTGGAGAATTACGCGATGAAGTCGAGGTGCTGGATCTCCCTAGGCAAGCAACGGCCAGAACTGGACCCGACTGCGGACACCAGGGGTTTTTGATCCATGAAGATGACAAAGTTACGACCATCAGCGCTGTGCCCGAAGTGCCGGATCGCTTGGTACACAGCGAGGAGTTCTCGACCGGAGGTGCTGTACCGAGTCTCTGCCGGCTTGAGACTCTTCAAGAAGAACGACAGCGGCTCCCAACGCCCAGCCACAAGCTGCTGGAGAACCGCTCTGACGCCAGTGTCCGAAGCGTCCACCTGCGGACTTATGAGCGCATCTGGTGTCGGGTGCCCAAGTCGGGTAGCGTGCGCCAGATGCTGCCTGACGCGATGAAACGCTTGCCCAGCGTCGGCAGACCAGGTGATGAGGCAGTGATTTTTTGAGGCCTTCTCACTGGAAATTGTTGAGTGGGGCCAGTAGAGCAGCGCCTTCGGACACAAAGCAATGATAATATGCCACCATTCTGATGAAACGCCGGAGCTGGTTCTCCTTAATTGGTTGCGGAACATCCTACACTGCAGAAATCTTGTATGTAAGGGTGGTGGCGATGTCGAGCTTAGTGACTTCATGACCGAGGAACTGAACTTCTTTGGTCCCGAACACAGGGTTTTTTTTTCGTTGACGACCAGTCCTAACTTGTCGACTCGCTCGAGAACCATTTCAAGGTGTCAGAGATGCTCGTGCTCCTACTTGCTGGCGACCAGAATGTCGTACAAGTAGACAAATATTCCTGGCACTCCACACAGCACTTCATCCATGGATCGTTGGAAGGTTTGGTTGGCATTACTGAGACCGAGTAGAAACCGGACCATCTCGGAGGGTCCGAATAGAAACTGGACCATCTCGGAGAGTCCAAATAGCGTTGTGATGGCGGTCTTTGAAACATCCGACGGCTCCACAAGGACCTGGTTGTATGTCCGCACCAGGTCCAACCTTACAGCCGTACAGGTGACCGGCGCGGTCTTGCAGGTAAGGCACCGGGTGTCAGTCCTGAGTGGTGGTAGCGTTCAGCGCATGATAATCACCGCATGGCCGCCATTCGCCGGGGATGGACCTCTGGACCGGGTGCAGGGAGTGAGGCCCAACTGCTCTTGAACGGTCATAAGACGCCGAGCTTGCGCATTTTGTTGAATTCCTCCCAAGCGATCTCAAAACGATCCGGGGCCAGGCGCCATGATCGCGTGATACACGGTGGTCCAGTTGTGATGATGTGGTACATCACAGAGTGGCTCAGCGGAGCTGGCCTTGTCGGGGGCTTGGTTACCCGCGGAAACTGTCGAAACTGCCGCGAGGCTTAGGGAGAAACTCCGGGCACTGCCCCGGAGACGGCTCTCAGTCCCAATGAGCGGATGCTGACCGGGGTTCCACGAGCACAAGTCTGACCTGATGTATTCGGCAGGACCTGGAGGCCCATGTCAACCGCCAGCTGGTGATGCGCCATGAAATCTGCGCCTAGAATCGGAGTGACGTCAGCGATAACGAGCTCCCATTCAAAGTGCGGCCCGCCGGCGAGCTGGACGGCGTGCCGGTATCTTCAAAAAGTATTCACTACGGTGCCGTTGGCAGCCTGCAACCGATGGAGCTGTGTGGGCGTCACGTCGGAACCGGGTGGCAAGGAGGCGGGCGGCAGTACGCTGACTTATGCCCCAGTGTCCCCTAGCAGCGCCCGACCAAGCCGGCTGTCTTGTGCCCCAGTGTCCACTAGCAGCGCCCGACCAAGCCGGCTGTCTTGTGCCCCAGTGTCACTAGCAGCGCCCGACCAAGCCGGCTGTCTTGTGCCCCAGTGTTCACTAGCAGCGCCCGACCAAGCCGGCTGTCTGTGCCCCAGTGTTCACTAGCAGCGCCCGACCAAGCCGGCTGTCTTCAACGAAGAACAGCTGCGTCAGCGGCAGCTGGGCTGAAGTTGCGGGCGCCAGCGGCTTCAGGCCTGCTCGTTTTCCGCCTCGGACTTCCATGAGCAGGGCTAAACGCAACGGTAGGCTTCCGCCCCAAACCGCATTGGTAGTCCAGCGCGGTAGTCCAGCGTCAGGCCGTCTGGGGAAGCCGCTGTATAAACAGTGTTCGCAAAAGGCCGCTGTAGATCGGGGCATCACCAGCCGCCAACTGTCTACGTATGTTACTTAGAAGCTGGGACGGAGCCTAGTCCCCGAGCTGTTGGTGACATAAGAGGCCTCCAGACGGCTGGCGCGGGATGGCCAATCGCTGATTGAGCGCATCCCAGAAAGCCGTGTAGTCTGCCAGTTGCCCGATGATGACATCGAGAACCTGAGTAGCCTCGGACATCGGAGGAAGCGCGACCAGCGGCTTGAATTTGTAGGCGAAGTCGTCGGTTCCGAAAACGTCGAAAGTACAGTTGACCTGCACGATACACAGCTCTGCTTCTTCAGCCGAGAAGGCAGGGAGTCCAACAGATGCGAACGGCTCGGTGGCCCTCGGCGTTCCGTGGCCCATCGCCGCACTCTCCGGCTGGCCCTCGGCCACCGTCAGTTGACGCGTTGGTAGATCACGTTAGGGTCACCAATGTCGCGCTTCTCACTATCTTCGGCTGCGTAAGAGAAAGGTGGCAGTAGTTGCCTTGATGTTTTTTCTTCTGTTGATAGTCCGAGCCCCCTTGCAATGCCACATAAGCGTCAATCGGCGTCGGCATCAAGATGATGCCGACCCGAACTGACAGAACGGGAAACGCGTCCAGAGAGCCGACCGATCACGAAGGGCAAAAACTCTACTTTCAAGATGCACGGTATATTTTCCTTTGCTTCGGTCGTTTGAATTAGAGCCCTTTCGACTAGCAATGATAGTTCCAAGGCTAAGGGATGAGGGAGAATGAATAGCGGGGGGGGGGGGGGGGGCACGACTACATGCGCCTGGGGGGCCCACCGCCGAGCTCTAGCCCGCGCAGGGACCCCTCAGAGTGTGCGGCGGGCGCCCGGTCCGGAATCCCCTCCTCCCCAGCGGGCCTCTCGATTCACTCGTGGTTGACGCGTGCAGCCTGCCCCGGATAAGTGGGGCGTAACAAGGCTTCAGGATTTAGCAAGAGAAGAGGATTAAGGGGCCCGATGATTGAGGAGGATGAGAGGCTCGGATTTGCTCTTGGGCGGCTGTCCACATGCACATCAAAGTGGAGTGGTGGGCGGCTGTCCACATGCACATCAAAGTGGAGTGGTGACGGTCCTCCGAGGTCAGTTTGCCTCCCTGACCTCAGCGGACGAGTAAACACCAGACATCGATGGCTAATCTAAGACATAAACACTCACAACACTATCTACCGTAAACACCATAAGAACAAACTTAAACTATATACAACTATCACAGATTACCAGACACATGCTGTCCTTTCAACTACGCATGATCAAGCCACTTGACGGCGACCCTCCCCTTACAGTGTTGACCCCTGCGCCACTACACGTGAAACAAGCCTCCTTGGTCCAGAAAAGGGGCATCTTGATGCATAAAGAGTTCGTCCCTATTCATGGCAAGGGTCTCCTTGTTCAAAGTTCATAACGGGGCCTCCCAAGCCAGCAAAGGGGCCTTCCTAGCACAAAGTTAGGCCTCCTGATCTCGAACATAGAGTACCTTATTTTTAGAGGCGGTTTCATGATCCAGAAAACGGGCATCTTCATGCAGAAAATGGGCTTCAGAGAGCACAATTTAGTGCCTCTAGCTCAGTCATGGTAGCCCTCGCATCTGAATTTGGTGATTTTCATGTAGATGCAAAGCCTTTAGTCTCGGCAAAAGAGGACCTCTCAAAATTTTGAGGGGGCAAGCACATACTCTTAGCCATCTCCCCCCCCCCCCCCATCTGCGCCATTCCGTGGTGTGACGCCACTGGAATGTTGCGACAGCCGCGTTATGCCAATGGTGCAGCCGAACGAGCCTGAAACTTGATTGCGACACAGCAGGGACGTGGGCACATCCCAAGAAGTGGATGTGCCTAATTCTCTTAACATTGATTTTTTTCTCAAAAAACGTCATAGGGTCCATCGTAACCCGTATGGCAAGTGGGCGGACCACCTCCTACCCCTGCGACGCCCGCGCCCACCCAATCCCCACCCCCACCCCACTCCCGCTCTCTTAAACGCCTTGCAGCATGTGTCAGGGTATCCGCGATCCACAGGGCCGCTACCGACCGGTTACAGACATATCACGCCACGCTAATACGGTAGTAACCAAAAGCTGTTCCTGCAGTCGCAGTTTCTTACTGGGAATGGTGACGTGGATAGCTCCCGGCTGGAATGTGAACCTCGGAGTGGGCACATCGGCGGTGCTGAAGCCGTCCGCAGACAGCACCGCCAGCGCCAGCAGCAGCACCCGCAGCATTCCGCCTGCTTGCAGCCGTAATCCGTCAACCGGCACTGTATCACACATACGTGTATACATATATAAACACACACACACACAATATATATATATATATATATATATATATATATATATATATATATATATATATATATATATGCATATTCCAAGAGAGGCTAGCGATTAAGGGGCTGTGCTGGACACACCGATGCCGATGAATATGAACATGTCCTTTACAGAAAGGATGAAATGTAAATGTTCACCGACACATTGTTAATACGAGATGTGAAACGCATGAAGTGAAGTACCTAACACTCTGTTCACTTAACACTGCACTGGGTTTGTTCAGATTTGTTGTACTCGTATACGAGCTGCCCTTGCCTTTTGCATCTGAAAGCTGCCCACCAGCCTGATCCGCATGTTTACACAATAATGCGGAGCCTCACGGTTTTGTTCACAAAACAAATGCCTTTTGGCGCATTTGTTTTGATGTCGGCCCGTATGCTTCCAGTGAGCGTGCCCAAACAAATTTTCCTCAGACCAACATTTGTGCACGGAGTACAGACCACCCCGTGTGTAATCTGAGCCACGTGGATAGCATCTACGAATGGCAATAATGCAGCCAGCTCCGTTTTGCGAACCTTTTTACTGGAAATAAGGTACAGGCCAAGCACTGCATGCATTCACTGACATACTATCGCACGGTCACGTACGTGCAACCATCGCATTGCACACGCGTTGCATTGCGCATTTCTGTTCCCTGTAATGCTTTTTCCAAAAAGAACAAATCGGATGGACAGACCACAACGGGTAAACAAAGAGACAGACTGTTACTGTAACAAATAACTGTTAACGGCTGTCAGTTTTGTACAAATTGGAGTGAAGTGACTGTTCAGTGGCAGCCTTTCGATGATCACTGTTTTCGGTCTCAGAAACACACACAGCCCCTGGTGCAGAATGTGTGTTCGCTGCTGCCAGTGCCCGCCTGATGGATCTATGAACACTGCGACCGGTTTTTACATTGTTCAGTGGCAGCAACGTCTGCACGAGAGGACCAGTTGCCATCGGGCATCACGCAAGTCTAACTCCTGCACACGCGATTTGCAGGGAATGCAGAACAATATCATCGCAGCGCTATGCATATGGGCGTGCGTGTGTTTCCTGAATTGCTATTTCGGAGAAAGGCAAAAGAGACGGAGAGAACAAAAGGCACGAACAAATGCTAACAAATGGCAGGCAGGCTGCTGCTGGAGCAGATGTCTTATTCATGACTCAGCTTCATTCATACAAATGCAAGCGTATTGACTGTCCGGAGGCAAGCGTCCATGCCCACTGATTCCGGTCAGCATGCGCACACGACTCACCCTTCAGTTGTTCCCGGAGCAGCACCAGCAGGCGTCTGGATACAGCCCTGCCGCCGGACGGACTTCGCACTGGTCCGTTCACCTCTGACGCAAGTTCGCCAGGCGCCCCCTGTCGAAGCGGCCGGTAATCTACGCCGGGCTGGCGCGGGGAGCCTGGCCCCCGGCGCGGGGAGCCTGGCCGACGGCGCGGGGAATCCCTCCAGCGAACAGCCCCGGCCGCACACGCCCGGCAACCGGAAAAACCGCACCTCCACGGAATGTCCAGGGCTTGGGGCAGACGGCTAGTGGCGCAACTGCATGGACATCCTTGCAGAAATGCAGCATAGCTGGTGCGAGTGACGCACTGCCATCTGGATACAAGCCGTTCTGTTGGGCTTATTGGTCGTTGATGGATGGAGGCAATGTGACAAATTAAGATATGTTGTGATCAATATGTTTTCATTGTCATCTCTTCAAATACATCTCATTAATAACATGTCTGTAATCTTTGTTTTGTTTCCAACATCAATTAGGCATAATGTCAACACAACCACGCTTTCAGTTGTAAGTAATGTCCTTTGAAGCTGTGCTGAACACTTCACATCTGCCAACTTTTCATGGTGAATACAGCAGGCAGCCAATGATGTCTCGGGTAGCCTGTGGTCATTCAATTTGAAGAAAGTGTTTTGCATTTACATGTAGTGTTAAACTGAGATAGTCATTTTAAGGATCACGTAGTACAGTTCACAACCTTGCCCTTTTTAAGATTTGGGACATTCTGGTTCTTGAGCTTGACGCCCGCTAACTTGTGCAGATTATTTCTTGCAGGCCATTTCAAGATTATTCAAGCATGCATGATGACATAGAAAGCACATGCGCCTGGGCTCAATTGCATGAGGCTGAGGTGGACATCCCGATCCCATCCAACATCACGTGCCGACTGCTTTTTAAAGAACAGCATTCCGGCACATATCGCACCTGTGTGATGTACCGCACCTGCCACTTAAATTACTATTCAATGCACTCACCTAGGTTTGCATGCATCTGTTCAAGCCACCCCCATCACCCTTTGTTGTTCGCAGGGTAAAGGCATATGTATCGTGGACATATTGAAAAGGAATGCCCACATTTGAGGATATTGAGACAAGCACAAGATGTGATGAAATAAACTGACATGACTATCGGCATGCTTAAATGTAAAAGGCTGCTATATAAAACAAAATTGCACATGTAGTAAATTTGCTCCTCAAAGCGTCATCGTTTGATTGCGTAATGAAACGTCTGTATAACGCCAGTGTGGTTGCCAAAATAGCCGTGCGAAATTGCTACCGTTGCGGACGGGCTAACTCACTTGTACCTAGATCTTAAGCTTGTCGAGAGGTCTTTTGCTGATTGGTGCGTGGTTTGCCAAAAAAATCGTTATGCGAGTGTTTTGGCCTTTTCTCATGATGTTTTTGCATATTTGTCCGTGATTATATACTGTCAACGTGAGTTCACATACTCAGTTATGGCGCTCTCCTTACTTTACTCGATTCCCAGTGCTGTTCCGTCACGACTTGGTACCTTTGCCGAAGCTCATGAATTATGCAGCACAAAACGTGATTCTTCTTCAAAATTTGCATGAATCCTTGGTCCAGGGCTAATAGAAGTTCATTGATGCAGGGAATCGTGCTGGCGTACACCGAACACGAGTATTTCGATAATCATATATTTGTGGCCTTGAGCACTATATAGCCAGTAGCCATTGAAGTGACGGTCTTCGCATGAAGTTTATGTGGCGTCATGCATGCCTGGGTGATCTTGAGGAAGTCTGCGCAAAATAATCCGCACATGTTTGCGCGAGCCAAGCTCAGAAACAAAAGGGTGTTGAGACTTAAAAAGGGCATGGCTCTGAGCTACACCGAGTGATCCTCAAAATGACTATCTCGCTCGAAAACCACACACAAATGTGACGCACTCCATTTAAAGTGGAAAGTTCGTGTTTAAATCCGTTTTAACAAGCGCTTGGGTGGGGGCCAATTCGATCCCACCGAGGGCTTTTACAGAATAATGTCCATGCTTGCGGAGGCCTGTAAGCCCTTTGGACCTCAATGAGGAGTTTGACCTTTTTGACCTCATTCAACACAATGGTCAATATCTAGGGACCTCAAATTTTGGCCCAAGTCAGGTCTATGCAGGTCAACCCACCCTGTGAACTAGCGTATCAAGCTCACCTCCTGATAACTCAGGGGGCGGTTCAAGTTGACCCCTCCCCACCCGAGCGCGTCGCATTCAGCCGGCCACCCGGGCGCGTGGTAAATATTGACTAGCCTTTCTGTTTACATCTCTGACGTCCACGTGCAGAGCGACTGGCCCGACCAATGCACGGCCTGGCGCCTTTCATTTCCCCTCTGACGCATTGTACAGAAAGGCGCTGGTTCTTTCGAATATTTCGTTCATTCACTCGCGCACGCTCCTGCGCGCCATGCCGGTCGTTGGCGAAACCAAAAGGAACGAACCGATTAACAGCGAGACCAAGCCTATGGCCGCTAGCAATCCAGTCAAAGCTGGAAAATTGAAGTATATTTTGAAGATGGGAGCCCGCCTGGTGGGGTTAGGGTGAAGCGCCTGGTGGGGTCAGGGTGAGGCGCCCGGTGGGGTTAGGGTGAAGCGCCCGGTGGGGTTAGGGTGAAGCGCCCGGTGGGGTTAGGGTGAAGCGCCCGGTGGGGTTAGGGTGAAGCGCCCGGTCACGATCCCTGTTCTCCTGGTAGGCTGCCAGGTAAGCGTCAACACTCATTAACCCAAACTTGAAGATGTCCTTAAATATTAAAAAGAAACACACTTGCAGAAACAGTGTTTTCTTTCGTGACATATTCTCAGGTAAGAAGTCACCTTCACGGACAACCCGATCCTCGGGTAAGACAGAAGCTGACGTGTGCATATCAACACATCTGTGCCATTTCCTACTGGCCATACAAATGTGTGCTGCATTGTCTGGGCGATGTGCGAGTTAGTGGCCAGTGCAGCGCTGGCCGCCGACAGAAGAGCTCGATGCCGGCCTGACATCTGCAGTTCACTGTTTACACAAGGGCATGAGCGGCCCTGAGCTGGCAGCCTGTGATGAAACCCACTGATTCGGACGGCACAAACATCGGTCATCGGAGGAACTATGTGCGCCGCTGTGGCGCGAGACAGGCCCTGCATCTTCACCGTTGTTCGACATCCATATGCAGCAATTAAAGACGTCCCTGCTGAGCCAGCATGAATCCAAGCACAATCCAAGCACAAGCACAAGCAATCCAAGCAAGCAATCCAGACCAAATTCTGAGGATGAGCTCAGGTGTCTTCGCTCTGTACTGAAGTCCCGAGCCAATCTTTCACTTCCACATCGCATGACTTCGAGTCCGAGTCTTAAGTGCATGGATCTTGGTTCCGAGCCCGAGACAAAGTTCTGTGAAAAGATTTTAGATTATGGATGATTCCCAGTCAAAACACAAGCGTAGGATCCTTTGTCTGTGGCCGCATGACGTTCAGTCGGACGCCTAGTAAATGTAGGTACATACTCTACGTGTCCTCACGGATGCTGAAAATTCATCGGTGGTGTATATATATATATATATATATATATATATATATATATATATATATATATATGTATATGCATGAGAAGCACAAAAAACTGAAAAGTCAAAGTAAATTGGGCCGTCCCATGTAATTTCCGCCGACGACGCAAAATCGGGGCAAGTTTGTCCCAACGACCTTCGACTTTTTAGCACGAGCAAGCAGAGGTGTCATACCTTCGGGGCACGGGGGAAAGCCTTAGCCCCTGCCATGTTGAACTGATCTCCCTCAGTGTGTTTCTGACCCCTTCCCTTCCCTCAATGCATATCGGCAAAAAGGGTCAACTGGCCCCAAATATCAAATATTTTCATTAACTTAATCTAGCATTAGGTTCGCCAATCAAAGTGATCAAAATCCGCGCAGAGATCAGTATTTGGGGACAGACAGGTCAGCTTTATTGGCTCAGCCTCCCCCCCCCCAACCGATTTTAGAAAATGCCTCCCCTGCAAGCAGGGAAGGCCTCGAGTCATGGTTTTTTTCGGCGCCACGAGATCGTGTGCTCAAAATAATCGGTCTTCGATATCACGCGACATATTTTTGCAATATCAGCATATGAACTATTGATTAAATTTGTCTTCAACATGCTCGATATTTCCAGCAGTACAATGATCTAGAAGATATCTTGCTAAGCATCTTCGTGTAACCAGCTTCTCCTGTTGTCACGGATATCGGTTTTTCCTCATAACAATTTATAAGTACCGTTTTCACGATGGATAATGCAATATAATTTTGTTAAACTGAAATGTTTCTGTAAAGTTATAGTATGTTCTAAACACTTCCACGAGAAAATGATTGAATCCATGCAGTCTCGTTCATATGCAATAGGCAAACCAGTTGTGCATGCATGATCTTATTTTATTAGACGATATTTTTCAGACATTTGTCTTCATTCCATAATTTTAGATCACCAAAGTTGCAGAATACTCTAGGCCTGGCAGTCGGCCGCGAGAGTCGGCCGAGGCTGGATGCTAGCTGCACCATTATTGTTTGTATTGGTGCTGTTTGTAGCAAGGCGCGCTTTGAGGATCATTCACTTTAAGGACCATTCATTGTGGATGATGTTTTTGTATGCAAGCTCTGTGTGTGCTGCATAACCATGAACAAAAACGCGACCAGTATATGGGAGTTTCTTTTGTGGCGTCTGCGACAGAGATGCCACGGACTATTTTTTAAGTTTTGAAGGGTTTTGGTAGGAAGAGATCATGCATCATGCTTGTCCATAAAGTCACGGCCTTGCTTACAGCCAGCCAACCTCAATTTTATCATACCATGCGTCTTTACAAACGGGTTTTTACATTTCTGCAAAATAAACGTAAATGGGTCTATTATGCTTATAGTTAAGGATTACTGACGCGAGATGTGTAGTTATACACAAGCGCTTGGATGATTATTTTTGAAAACATTTTTGAAGTCTCTGCTCCGTAATCCTTGTTGAAAACGGCAACTACTACTATGTTAACGAAATATGATGTAGATGATGCAGATGCTTCATGAAAATGCGCACAGACCTTTTCTCCATGATGTAGTGTC